CCTACCCCCTGCTTTAGCTGAGCACTCTTTCATGGTAAAGCCACGTTGACATATATAATCGACACAAGTATGTATATTCAGCACATAGTATGTCTTAAAATGTATTTGTGAAATCCTAGCAATGCCAAAATAAATAAGAACTTGATATGAGGGTTTTAAAAATCAATAATGTAATGTGACAAACACAAAGCTACAGTAGAATGGCAACTAATCAGTTATCTTAAGCCAAAATTAAAGTGCATTCAGCTTTTTAACTTCACTCTTGTTGGATATAATTCAAGCAAAAAAAGATATACAGATACAAGTGGTGTGTATATATATATGTACACATATATATATGGAAGTCTTTATGTAGGAAGTGTTTTAATTGTGGCATTACAGAAATTCAAATTTCAAGAATGTCTGGAGATTTTGAAACACTGATTTCTGATATTTTGAAAAGCTGGTTAAATCTTTCTGCTTCTGCTTAAAAGGCAATTTTTCAGCAGCACTGGAGAGAAGCAATAGCATATGTATGATGATGTACAGATGATGACTTGTCAGGAAGGCATTGGAGTGCTTCACAGCCACCATGATATCAACAGAATTGCACATAGGAAAGAAGTTGTTTGAACAAGAAAAGGCAGGTGATCTTGGTTATATTTTCAGACATTATCTTGAAAGGTTTGTCAACTTGGTGCCTTGGCTTCCATTTTTGAAACATTAAACTAATTTGTGAAGTGTTTTAAACACTTGGATCAAGCATCTCTCAACCCCAGTCCCTTACCCCAGAACTCCTGTCTAGAAAGTACTTTAGGTTGGCATTGACTGCTTGGTTCAACTTACAGTGTATGTAGTATATACAGTATATGCAAGCAGCCACTAAAAACTGAAGGTCTGGGGACCAAAGCTGAATTGTCCACTGCCAGATTATAACTTTTCTGAAAGCAGCTTCTGTAAGGGGACACCTTGGGTCTATGTACACGTTTGGGTTTGAATTCTCGCAACAAATGCTTAATTTTCTAGGTACATTAGAATAGGTCGTTATTAAACTCAGAAATGCAAAAATGCCTGTGTGAATTTGTGATTAGTAACTTGATTTTTTTAACCTCTTAGTTTCAGCATTCATCAGGATAGTAGAGGAGGAATGACCATGAAGCCATGTACTGCAATAAATTGGGACCAACAGAAAGACATAACCAACACCAGCACAGAAGACCCAGAAACAAATCCCCTCCCTGCTTTAGACATTTCAAGTTAAAATAGAAATTTTTCTGCCTGTTATATTGAAGAACCTTATGTGACCTAAAGGGTTTTATGTGAAAAGAGCTTTATTCATTGGGGCTGAGAGATGACTAATAGCAGCAGAGTATATGGAATAGAGCAAGGGTGAGACTGGGGCTTCTGAGAGAATGGTGTTGATAGAGGGACTGGCAGTATGCTCCAGTGAACAAAAGGGACCAAAGAAATCGTGTCTGCAGGATGAAGGATGCTGCAGCTTGTCTTGAAGTGCAGGTCTGGCCCCTCTGAAGTTTCCCACTAGTTCAGTACTTGCTGAGAAGCTGAGGCAAAGGAATAAGGTTATTTTTGATTCTGTAGCAGAGAGAAAGAGTGCTGCAGTTCATTTTTAACTACCTTAGGGTCCTGATATTGCTGCATAATGAAATAGATGTTTTAATACACTTCAGCCACTGCCTGTGGGCTGCTTGCTGTTTGTCACTGAAGCCAAATTATGTCCCTTCTTGCCCTGCTTCCCTTCTCCTTTCTTGCAGCTCTTGCAGGCTTAATTAGAAGTGTTGGCTGCAAAAGCATTAGTTGGGTGAGTGGGTTTGCAGGGACATGTATGTACGTTTTGTTCCTGGAAAGGACAGAAAGGAAATTATTTTCTTTTGTTTTACAAGTTTTGCCTAAAAGGGAACGAAGGAAAGAAACTCTCTTCGGTTATGTAAGATGCCTTTCTGCCACAATTCCTAGTTTGTGTTTTCCCATGGTAACTGGGCGTATTTGTTGCACGGTCTTGTTCTTGCAGAACAGGCATTACTGTAGTTAAGAGCACCGAAAAGAATTTAAATTTTAATTTAAATTTTGGAACTAATTCTGTTTCGAGAGAGTTCATGATCTCTGTAGATTGTTACCTGCAAGGATTTGAACCACACGTTTAATTGCAAGAAGATGAATATAAAGTATGTTGGAACTCTGAGTTGGTTATCAGATGTAACATTAGGAGTTTGCAGTGGGATGGGGGGTTAACTACATTTTTGTTTCTGAGCAGATGCTTAGTTGCAGTATGCATTATTAACTAAGGCAATGCAAATGCTTGTGAAAGTTGTGCTATGTACATTAATCACTGTGCATGCAACAGAAAACATCCAAAATTAACATAACCAATCAAAACAAATTGCAGAGTATTTTCTCGAATTGAGAAAAAAAAAAAAAAAAGCAAGCCAGCTTTTTGGTTAAAGCAAGCAACCTCTTGGTTTTCAAAGGGTAGTAGAGGGAATGGGAAGAGCCTGCAAGACTCACCATTTAGGAGAACAGGAGACCCCCATGCCTTATAAACAATGTCTGTGGAAGGGACAGCACAGAGTACACTGAGTGGCATCCACTCTTGTTTCGTGTGAGAAAGGAGGCTCTGCAGAGGAACGCTGAAGTCAAATGTATCAGGGGAGCCATAGCTGTAAGGAAATCACAGCTCAGTCTGCCCCTGGGGAAACAGAAGTTGGCTGTTAAGGGAATAGAAGAAAGATTTGGGAGTTTTGAATGTATACTCAGAGAGGGAGGAAACCATTATGAATATATGCTGGGATTCATCTTTCATCTTGACTACCCTTGCAACAGCTATTTCATGCAGAATATAGTCACACTGTAAAGTTTTGCACTGCTCCCAAGAGAAGAGTTTTCCTGCTCTATTGTCTTCTATATAGATTAATGGGTAAAAGAAATACAAAGAAAGGGAAGGAGATCAGCACACACAACACTGGAGTGTTGGTGAGCAAGAAGAACTGCTGAGAACACAGTTTCCAGAACAGCACATTGCTTAGACCTGAAGGTTGTGAGAGGACAGGAGAAATAAATGTGGAGCCCTTCAGAGGGGGTTTTTAGGAGGGCCTACCCTTCCTGGAGCCTGTATTTGAATAATTCCCTCTTATCCAAAGTCACTTGAAAAAAGGGAGAGGAATCCATTGGAAACAAAAACTCACAGGCTATCGTCAGGTTTGCATGGGGCTTGTGAAGGGGATCTCCCTGCCTAGGACTTGCATTGCAGGGCACTTCTGAGGCTTCCTTTCCATTCTTGAAGTGTGCTTAATGAGCTCAGGACAGTAGCAGGGATGCAGAGGGATGAATTGTCTGCACCACCAAGTCCTTGATGCCTCATCCCTGTTAACAGTGCTGTACTCATGCTGCAGCTCACACTCCCCCTCCTCTGGGAAAAACAGTTTGTGACTGATTGAACAGTTTTGCTAACCCACTTTTTAAACTCTCCTGGCTCAAGAGGAGTAGAAGTAGGAGCTTTCTCTGCATATGCACTAGTGTGAGGTGGAACAAACCTGATGACCCATCTGGATGAAAGGGGGAGGGCACAATGTCTCCATAAGTTGCTCTGGCTAAAAGCTTTAGGTGCAAAAGAGTAATAGTATCTCTTTTAGAAATGAAATTGCTAGAAACCTTTGTAACATGCCTAAGAGGGTGGTTTTTACCTGAGGGCAGGAACAGGATTGCTTAGTGGAGAACCTGAAAGCCCCTTCCTTCCTAGAAGGCCCAGCACTGTTAACCCCTTTCCACTGAGGATACAGATGGCATCCCAGTTGAGGGTGCTGTGCTGGGTACACCCTACAATAGGTCACACCTGTAGACAGCAGCAACACTTACCTGTGTATGCACGTGCAGCCTGTGCCTGCTGTCACGGGGCAGATGCCCAGCCTTGTTCTGACACAGCCACTTCCCTGAGCCAGCTGGATGCAGCCTCCATCTGGACCTGCCGTGCACCCTGTTTGTGTCTCACTTGCTGACCTGGCAGGACCCCATGGGAAGTGCAGTTCTGACATCACAACTGTACATCTAAATGCTTTAAGTGGATCCCAAGATGAAAAGGTGGTTCCTGCACACCTTTAATAAGAATTTTGGAAAACTTGAGTGCAGTGTGTCTTTCCTGTGAAGCCCATCCTAGTTCATCAGCCTTTACCCCCCATGGGTTCCTGATCCTGTCAGTGCTTCCTAGATACTGTCTGCAGGACAGTCTTGCCCGACCCAGATGGGTTACCACGCAGGAGCTGGATGTTAGGAGGCTCCCTGGGAGGGAAATTGTTTTCAAATGCAGATATCGTATCACCCAGTTACTGGGAGCTGGTGCTACAACTTTGTAGCTAAGGGCCCAGTTGTGCCTCTGTATGCAAAAGCCCTGACTTTGCATGGGTGATCTCAAATCCTAGAGGGTGTGGTCTGTCCAGACTGGGCTTGTGTCCAGCTATAGCTGCATGAGCAAGCCTGCCATTCCAGTCTGCTGATCAAACTCCATGTTAGGGATGTGGAAACACTATGAGAAATCAACAGGGACATTTGGCTTTGCTACTGGACTAGAAAAGGGGCTTTGTTCTGTGACTGATGCTTTTTAAAGGGAATGGTGGGAGGGCAGTAGTGTGCTACCATCATCTGAAAAGGACAAAGTTTAGTATGGCCCAGCTCAAACAACCAACACTGTGAGTGAGGGAACAACTAATCCTTGGACTGCTTCCGACCATAGATGTAGTAGAGGCAGCTGTAGCAGAACCCAGACTAAAGGTACTCCAAAAAAAGCCCCAGAACACTTAAAGCATCAGCTTCTCAACTCCAGCTGCTTCACTCTGCTATTCCACTCCGCTGGCCCAGCCTAGTTGCTCAGGTAGATGTGACCACAGCTACCTATGACCAAACTAGGATTAAGTTAGAACAGCCTTTTGACAGCAAGTTCAGCTAGCAAAACGCAGACCCTTAAAGTTACCAGCTTCAAAGACCTTACAGTTAGATTTCAGAGAGGCTGAACATTGCCCACAGAGTTAATCAGCATTCAGCTTTTATTTACAAGAAGTCCGAGATTCATACAGCAAGATTTGCTGAACCTGCTGAAGGAGGTCCAGAATTAGACAGGTAAAGCAGATGCAAGAGCAGCACATAATGACTTAATAGCTTGGTGACTGGTGTAAAAATTTTGAAGTCACGTGTAGACTGGCAGCTTTGTAGATCGGGTCTGAGAGGAATATTGTGTCAGATATAGGAGAAGTGGTAGAGGTCCTGTTTGACAGCCATGAGTAAGCCAGGAACTCCTCGGCGACCCCCAAGTCTTGAAGAAAACACCACACTAGGAATGGCATCTTTGGATGATGGGTGGGGAGAAGGGATGCTTCTAAGCAGATGGGCATCTTGGAGGCTCCAAATTCTGGTGTAGCAATCCTGACCAACTGGAAAGGCAACAACAAAATTTAACATTACACAAAAATTACATGGCTCTGCAAGAGTATCGCCACAGATGCAGAAGGTCTATGGGGAAAACATCCTGACTATTCTGCAGACGTGAGATGCAAAGTGCTTATCCACCCTTTATGAAACAAATACTGCAAAAGTGGGAAAAATGTACATTTCCTATTAGGCATTTAAAGGTACGATAAATCACTATTTAAAGTGCTTTTGTCTTTATCAAGCTCCTAAGCAAAAAAAGGGAAGAAACACTCAGTCAAATTAAAAAATCTTCTCATTATTCTGCCACTTATTGACAAATCCAATGAGAGAAGGTCACTCTCTTTACAATGACCTTGTGAAACTTGGCTATACTATAAAGATTTAGGGATTTTGCTTCATTTATTGCTACTTTTCCTCCCTCTACCCTAAATATAATAATATTCAAAAAATCTGACTGTAACCAAGTATATTCAAAATGAACCCGACTGGGATAGACAGTTTACAAGGAGTCTGGCTAACGTCCCAATGCTTCAGTTCATCATCACACTATCCACTTAACCACCAACTAAACATATACATGGTTTTTAGTCTCTATATAAAGTTATCACCTGAATGTTTGTTTACATGTTGTTTCCCTAAATGTCAAAATCACGTGTTTTCTGCTCTACTCTTGAGATGTACTGTACAAAAGATAACGGGACTTTTTCAGGGCACAGCAGATAAATCTGTTAAGCGCTACACAGGAGTGATTACAGTAGGTGTGCTTAACATCATTTCTTAATTTTCATAGCATATTACAGTATGTTTAAGTCTAACTTTCTTCTGAATTTTAAAGAATTAGCAGCTTTACAGTTTCCAACAGCTGTAGCTAAGAAACGCCTCTCAGGCACAAGAAAATCACTGCCACACACTCTACAAGGAGGGGGGAGTCAACCCACCTGCTGTAAGGAGTCCTTCCTCCTCATTAACGTGCAGAGGGAGAATAGCATATTCATTGTGATGGCCTTGGTACTGCTTCACACACTTTGTTGTCCTCAGGTCCCACAGTTTTATCTGCAAGTTGAAGGAATTGTTTGAGAGAGGATATATTAAAGCAGAGAGCACTTAATGGTTGGACCTCTGAGAGCAGGTCCAGAAGAGGGCCATGGAGATGATCAGAGGGATGGAGCATCTCTCCTACAATGACAGACAGAGAGTTCAGCCTAGAGAAGCAGTCAGTACTTAAAGAGGCTACAAGAGAAGTGGAGAGGGACAATTTACAAGGGTATGTAGTGGTAGGACAAGGGGGAATGGCTTTAAACTGACAGAGGGCAGGTTTAGATTAAATATTAGGAAGCTCTTTAATGTGAAGGTGGTGAGTGACTAGAACAGGTTGCCCAGAGAAGTTGTGGATGCCCCATCCCTGGCAGTGTTCAAGGCCAGGCTGTATGATTTTCTTTGAGCAACCTGGTCAAAGGTATCCCTGTCCATGGCAGGGGGCTGGACTTAGAATATCTTTCAAGGTTCCTTCCAACCTAAACTATTCTATGGTAAATCAGTGGATCTGGAAGAGGATCCATATATGAAACTACCACTCAGTTCCACGCTACATACTAAGAACAGGTATCTGCCCTTGGGACTGGGAAAAGGTGCTTGCCTAGACACTAAAAGGAACAGAATATCCTTAACACAACAAAACCATACCTTTCCAGCCATATCTGCTGCCATAAGATAATGTTCAGCTTCCATAAGGTGAACAGATGTAACTGCTGAGCCATGGAAGAGACGAATTGCTTTCCAGCTCTGTCCCTTTCGGTTACGTTGACGCACATCAATGCTGAAAATCTCACCTGAACGGCAGCCATTGTAAAGCACTGGGGTCTGGAAGAATCCAAGAGAAAGAAGCCTACTACATTGTAACATCTGTAAGGATTTTACAAGGTATGCAGGCAGAATCTGTGTCATGTTTTTGAGCTCTATGGTGCAGTTGTCAAATTATTTTAACACAGACATTAAGAAGCAGAATTTTTATTACAAGCTGCCACGTTTTTCAGCTGACTCAGTAGTTTCCTTCAAACCTCAACTATTTAGCTTTAGAAGTTTGGCTACATAAGTAGGAACTTATTCTAACATAACAGCAAAACAGAAAGCGGAGTTCTCATTTTCCAATTTCACCCTTCTCACTAAATCTTTCTGAACAAGTCCATTAGTATTTTATGGGGATTTTCTCCTTCTTGGTGGAGGCAATACACTGAGTATTAACAAAATGAGATTATTTGCCAAAACCAAAACAGTTTTACAACATATTATTACTTATTATTGCTCTTTGTACTTCTTTAATTTTCTTTTAACCTTTGTAATATTAACAAAAATGACCTCTGTTCCCACAATAAGCAGTTAATCTTTTTGCTGCTGTTCAATTGTGTGAAAGCAACAGACCACATCAGCTCTGCTGCGAACAGCCACCCCACAGTAGCTATCATCACACCCTTTGTACAGCACGAGGAGCCCCATCACAAACAACAAAGAGCCCATGAATGAGGCAGTGCTCTGAAAAAATGAAGGGTGTGTGTCCTCCTTACCTGTCTGGCAAACTGTTGTGCCAACACATCACTACTGGTTCCAAATGTCTGTCGATGCCCTGTCACTACATTGGTCACAAGAACTCGTCGTGTCAGGCCTAAGGAAGACAGGTTATGTTAATTTAGCTGTAATTCAAGTAGCAGCTGGGAGATGAACACAATAAGTCGTTCCCACTGAGACAGGGGGGGTTGCTAGCCTTGCAGAGATCACCTGTGCTGAAGCAGTTGTCTGCTTGGGGATTCAGGCACCAAGCACAGGACCAGGCAGTAGATATCTTGAAACTGCACAGCATTCCAGGTCGATCTCCTGGAAGAGAGGAGCAACACATGAAGTGTTCATAAAATATTAGGACAGGATGATAATTCAGAAAGGTTATTAGATTGCCATACTTCTTTTAACATTTCAGTCTGAAGCAGAAGAATTGTTACCCATTTAGCATCCCTGTGTTACTCAAGAGACAGGAAACAGAAGTGGGATTTTATGGCTGAAAGCTGGACACCTACAGTCTATATAAACAGATGATATTGAGAGACTGGGAAATTTATTCAGTAGTCAGAGGGCTGACCATGGCATGAAAAGAGAAAAGTAACACTTAAAGCACTAAGTAAGCTATTTTTTAAAGACAAGTGGGCTATAGTAAAAAACATTTATTTTATAAATTACAGATTAGCCAAAGCCTAGCCTCTAAGTTCTTGGCCTGTCTATTAAAAAAAAAAAAAAAAAGTTTGATTAAGTAACAATACTGTAGATTTGACCTTTACTCATGTAGCACCTGCACAAAATTTATGTCAATTAGTAGACTAGACTAAGTCCTCAGTTGTCACTTCCTTCATGGCAAATCATACATACATGTCAGGTAGCAGAGGTGACATGGTTAAGAGCAGATGGATAACATAGTTTTAGACAGGATAAGTTCTGCTTTGCTCCTGGCAGCTACCTAGCAAGGTTCCCACACACCAACTGTTTAGGGGAGTGAAGTGGGTCAAACTTGGAAATACCTTAACAGTCAATAGAATATACTAGACAGAGGGATTTTGATGGAACTCACAACATCTAATTATGATGAAGGGCTTAAAATGTTCTACAGAGCAACTGGGCATGCTGGCCTAGTAGCCATCTACCCTCAGTGACTCTTCAAGTTCATGCTAACTCCATGCATATTTTTTAATGGCTGAATAAAGAGCATGACATTGAAAATTTAAAATAGGCCCATTACTGTTATATCACAGATTCCCTCTGTATAAACTTAACTGATCATGTCTGAATGGAAACTAGATTAGAGGACTGCACTCTGTGACTTGAAGAAGCATGGTTCTAACAACTATCCAAAAAGTCCAATTAATAAAGTCCTGCCCCCAAGAACATTCATCAAATATATAAAGATACAGCTATAGCCATCAGACTTTAGACACAATATTCTCCCAGACAATCATCTTTACACAGAACACATCTTTACATACAAGGAACTATAGGCTGAGACATTTCCCAGCTTTCTACCTTTGATTAATCCACTGAGCATATTTGAGTAGCTGGTATGAGAAGGGATTCTGCAATGACTCTTGACAGTCTATAAAGAAATGTGAGTGCTTCTTGTGTGTAGCTTCTAAGTGTTAATTACAGGCCAAGCTATTCATTAAAAATCTCAAATGTTTACTTTACAAGTGAGGTGTCCTGCCAAAGTCAAGTATTGCAGCAACTAAAAATAAACTAGTGCTTTGAATACTGCTTGTTAATTATGTCTTAAGTTCTTCATCATTCTTCTTCTTATGCTGTTTTACAATTTCCACGACCACGGTCTCTCCAACTACTGAAAATGTTGAAATAATCTTTCATTTGTGCTTTTATCATACTATAACTGCAAAAATTGGAGAACAAAGACCAACATAAACACCCTACCTGGGTTAGTGCTGCTGAACAATGATGCTGGAAGCAGACTGGCACAGCCTGGTGTTTCTGCAATTCCCATGAGACACAGCTTGCTGCAGTGAGTTAAGGAAAACAGATTTCGCCCTAGAATGGAACAGGCTGCCTAACATTTATAGCTGGGAAAAACAAGATGCTCTGATACAACCACAGCTCACAATACTTCCTCTTGAGACTTTTGATGTGTGTTACAGTTTACAACTAAGTCTTGACTTTTCATTTCTTTCTTAGGAATGAGCTAGAGAGAACTAAAATTCTTGCTTGTGTATTTTCACTATCAGAAAGGTAAGAAAAGAGGAATACTATGGCATCTTACTAGTGGTAGGGGGAAAATTAAAAAAGAATGGCCTACATAGATCATTCTTCTTATCTTTATATGCTGATGACGCTGCATTAATATAGATCTGTTTCTCGTGGAGGTAAGTTGGAAAAACGGGAGCATTGGTGAGGCAAGGAAGACTCATTTTAGATTACGTTTAGGTATTTTATGAAGACTATCTCAGGTATAAACAGAATTTGAAAGCTGCATTTCAAGTTCAGTGGGATAAATCTGTAGCATGACTAGAGCAAAGCTCGAACCCACCAAACCATGCAATAACAAACTCCTCCTCAGCCGTGGGCACACCTGGTGAGCTCCTGCCCCCTGATGGGTCGGTCCAGAATTGCCTGGCTTTTCCCAGAGGCCATTCCATGTTTTATTATGTAATTTCTTTTGGCATTTAAATAGCACATTTGTTATCTGTTATCTCCCGTGTCAAAATTCCATTTTCTTCCTCTCTTCTGGGCACTGCACTGTCCATTACTGCTTCCTCTGCCATCAACTCTCCTCTTCTTCTGAGACAGACCTGACAGTTGCAGAGCATGATGCCAATTAATTGCTCCCATTCTCCCCAGTCAGTATAGGGATGGTTTTAAACAGAAACAAACCAACCCACTTTCAAAGAGGTTCACTTCGGAGAAAGGTGGTTGTCTTAATTCTCTGCTCCTGTTCTTTTGCCTCAGCCAATTTCTAAACATCGGGTCATTTTGAATATAGCATTTACATACACTATTAATGAAGTGGGAATTCTCCAGGGCAGAAAACATGGTCTTTCATCTGTTATTACACTGGAACAGTTCTACATATATCTATCATAGAACCATACATCTGTCTCATTAACTCCAACACCTTTCAGTTTTTTATAACTTCCTCTGTTTTCCAGAAAACTTACTTTCTGGGAGAACTACACAAGAGGGATTCCTTAAAGTTAGTTTTTCTGTGCAGCATGATGCAGACTTGTGAAAGATGAACTGCAATTTTGCTTTTTTTAAAAGGATATAAAACATGAGAATCTGGATGAGTCAGTGATGCCCAGCACACAGAATTCACCTTCAGACACAAGAAGACAAACTATTTTTGTCATCTGTTAATTAATGAAAGATTATTTCCATGCAAAGATGACACAAAATTAGGCACTGGGCACAACTCCTCAGCCCACTAAATAGCTCAGTAAGAGGCACAAGCATTTTAGCCTCATACTCCTTTTGTAATGACAGAACAGCAGGGAGAAGTTTGACAAAACACAGACTGAGGCACCAAGCACATCCTATTATTCAAGAGAACATCCTTAAAAGAATCTGAGCATGAAGAGATTATGAAAACCTGTTTTAAATATGTATCATGTTTAAGGATAAACACATTTCCCAAAAATTATTTTTAAGAAGCATGCAAATCTTGGTAGTTTTCCCAGCTACAGTCCAAGTCTGAAGTAAGCACTATCCTTGGAAGCTGGTACTTCTACCCAGTCTTGCGTTCCAATTGTAGCATAACATTCCTGAGGACTATCACTGGTACTGAGGACTTTCAGAGACGAGTTTACTGTGGTTCTGTGTTTATCCAAGCTTTACATTTCCGGATTCTTCCATTCTCTTCTCCTAACCCCTTCCCCAACCCTCATGGCATTTCTGCCTCAGCCTCGCAAGAACAGCATTCCGAGAATGCAATAACCAAAGGAAGGAGGAACAGAAAATAGTACTTTGCGGTTTGTGAAGTAGAGGTTGTCATACATCTCCACAGTGAGAGACTCCTTCCCCAAACCGCTGAGATTGATGATACCATATTTACATCCTCCATGCTCTACATCGTTCACAGTGAATATTCGTTCACAAGCAACATCTGCCTGTAAAATAAAAGCTTACCGGTCACACTTACTGGAAACTTACAGGAAAAACAGCTTGAGGGAGCTGCACTAGGTCTAAAATGAAACGACACATTAATTCTGATGCGTATAACACCACCTGCTTTCCATTCACCTCTAAAATCAGTGGCCAATTCAGTTTTTCATGCATGCACAGAAAAAATAGGGGTAAGAAAAGGATTTAGTCCTTGGCTAACAATAAATGATCTTGCCAATTTTAGCAGCTCTATACACTTACTCTGGCTGACTGGTAAGCAAAGACTGCTATGGGTAGAGGACACAAACCACAAATTTAAACTTTATCAAAAGTGATCATGGAATTCTCCTGCTGTTGACTTAGAGTAAATAGGCTGGTGCTACATTTTAGCTTTTCTGACACTAAATTTTCGACTCCCTTCTGGCTTCAGCTACCTACGCAGTGTTCTGTTTACAAGACCAGGAGCTCCAGATCATGAAATGATTACTGATGTTTACATAGATTCTCTGAACCACAGGCTCTGCCACTTCCAAAATTCTTCTCTTTAAATTTCTTCTTTCTCTTGATCCTCTCCACTTGCCCTCCCAGTCCCACAATAATGATCCACTCAACTCCTGTTTACTTCCAAAAGAAGTAAAATTAGAATTTAGGAAAAAAATAAAAATCACTTTCATATCCAATCTTTTTTATAATTTTCCTTTCTGGGAAAGAAACAGCCTCTCCCTACCTGTTTAAAATTACTGAGCACAGATTTTAAGAACTGACACATTTTTGAAATAATACATTTTTGTATTGAATAACACATTTTTGAAAGCAAAATTTGACCTAGGTGATTTGATTACAAGACCCTGAATTTTCACTAATGATAAGCTCTCTTTATACTAAAGACTTATCATTTCTCGTAACATACCACAATGATTTTAAAATTGTTGGTTCCAGCAACTGAGGAATCCGGACTGTGAATTTCTATCTTCCTCCTCTGCATGCAGTTTACTTTTAATTCATGGACTAGCCTGTAAAAGCAGGTGGGGGGTGAGGGGGTTGAAGAGATGAGAATTCAGGTAAGCCTAAGTTTAATGCCTATGAAAAGAATTCTGGACACCACATAGAATTGCTTCTCAATCACAGAAGAGAAAATGCCTGAATAACTAGCATGCTAAAATTTAACTTATATAACCCGTGAACATGTGCATCTTCCACATTCATGGAATTTCCTCCTGTTATTTTGAAGCCCAGCACATCAGAAACAACACCCCAGCAAGTCATTACCTTGAATTGCCTTTTGCACTGTTACTGGATCTGAGCTACCTTAGCTATTCTAAAGAGGGGGAAGGGGAATGGCCACATCAGTTGAAAGGCATTAATCCAAAGAAAAGCTGTGCTGTATTCCTAAAGCACGGTGCAGCAAACCAGCATATTCATATACATACATGTGCGCATATATAAAGTGAACGTTTTTTGGAAGTGAAATTGGGAAACAACTTTCCCATTTGAATTCTCATCATTTTAGTAGCCTGATGAGAACAGAATATAACTTTTTTGCTAATTTTAAGTAATATATTCTTCCTTCTTCTAATGGAAGAAGAAATGCAAAAAAACCTGACAGAAACACTTGCACTTACAGCAGAACTTGGCATTGCAAACAGAAGGCAAATCAAATCGTTGTACCTGCAATAACTTGTGGAGCTGAGCAAACCCAGCTGCCTTTTCTGAAACAGCATAGGTGAATTCAGTCCAGCCCTTGTTGTTTTCTGAAAGAGAATAACGTGAAAGCATACTCAGTTATTTGCTTGTTTATGATTCAAATATGGCTGTGGGTCTTAGATGTTCGGGATGTGTAGGTAACTTCTTCCTTTAGCCTACGTACATTAAAATTTTCAGAACATCTATAAAACACACTCCACAGTCTACTAAAGTAAGCAGACAAGAATATATTCCTGTGAGATGTGGGGTGCTTCTATAAACGTAAAAGCTGAAGGAAAAAAATACCCAAAGCCAACAGCCATTGTTTTCACTCTACATAATCAGCAGTACCACCTGGAGGTGTGAAGTCACCTTCTGGTTTCGCTACACCACCTTACATTCTTATTATACAGCAAAATATTCTATCACAACAAGACTGCTATTAAGCATTCAGTCTTACTGTTGCACTGAACTGCTTTTCCATTCCATTTCCCCCAACAGCAGGGGCTTGGAACTGGATAATCTTTAAGGTCCCTTTCAACCCAAGCCACTCTATGATTCATAATTTTTTAAAATTTCATGCAAACACTTTCTGAGGAGGCCAAAGGATAGAACACTATGCAGAATTATAGAGTATGAAATCTTTTTTATAATGCTCAGACAAAGCAAGCATTTGACAGTCAAAATGTTCTTCACAGTGGAGACTAAAGAGCTGAATAGCTGGTTGGAGCACTTCATTTCCTAAGGAAAAGAACACTGCTCAGTTATTCCAAATGACAGCATATTGAAACCTGGCATCCAGTGTTCTGACTCAAGTGTAACTGCTGAACAACTGCAATTTTGAGAACAGTTCATGTCTTTTTACAGGTTTTTTTATTTGTAATGACTTCACTCCTATGTGGAACAGTCAAATAAAAGGCTTCAAGGACTATATATTCTTAAACAAAAAAGAAGTCAAACTGTGTCAGAATTGAAAGGCTTTAGTTTATAATCTGTCCTGGGCCAGAGTACAATAAAGCCTAATTGCAATCTTTTTCAGAACATACCTTCCTTTGTTTTTCTTCCTCTTCTAACAGTCTCAGTCTTTTGCACTCCATCGCCTTGTGCTGAATGCTCTCCTCGGTGAGTGGGTTGTAGTTATTATGTCCAGGCAGTAGGCGAAAATAGCGGTTCTTTTCTGCGTCATAATAAAATCCTGGCAGTTCTTGGGGTGCGGGGGGAGAAAAAGTGACAAAATCAGATGGATAACTAAATTTCTTTATTGCTCTTTAATATCCTAAGTCTTCATGTGAATGTCAGTCACACGACTCAAAGCTCTTGCTCCCAACAGGTCCCAAGTGTGATATATAGACTAGGAATAGATGAGCCACTTACAGGAGAAAAACAGATTATAGTTTTCAAATGCAGTGCTGTTACACAGGTACAGAAGGGATGTCGCCACTGACCAAGAGGAAATTCAGACAGATCAGAAGAGCAAAAAAAAGAAAGGTTTTTGTTGCAGAACAAAAATGGTTTTTCTTAATAAATCCATCATGAGGGGACATTCTTAGTTAAAAAACTAGGTAGGACAGTCCCAAACAGCAGCAAAAAAATTCACAATGGGGTATCACACAAACCAAAATAAAGTGATTCACTTCCCAGAACAAGATACTTTTTCTTCAACACATAGGAGAGATTTAAATGTAATCAAGAGTACATTTGGCTCCATATCCAAGGATAAATTGGGATGAGGAACATTCAATTTTAGTGCTTCATTGTCTAGGAAAATTCAGAGGCAGACAGCTAAAATACTTTGACAGATTCATAATGGTACATTGTCTCAAGACAAAGGATTTTATTCAGAAGAGGCAATTGTTACATTTAATTTCAAGAGTTTTTATTTAAAACTTTATCTACTACCAGAATTTTCATTTTAAGTAACCTCTTTTTGTTGCTGCTTACAACTCAAATCCTTGTCCCCATCTTTTAGGTTCAGTGACCAAAACTTATTCAGGTCATGAAAAATAAAAAGTTAGTCAATGAATCAGTAAAGATCATAAAAGCACACAACATTTAGTACACAGAATCTAATTACACAGCAATAAATGTCTTGCAGGATACATCTCCTAACACACAACATCAAACGTTCATATACAAAAAACATCTCTTTAAAGTCCTCTGGTATTGTCTGTTGTTAAGAATCAGTGGTGTTTCAGGACTCTCCTGTTGTAGAGAAATATATGTTTCTACAGGCTTAGCTTTTGCTAGCATTGTTTAATGAGTCAGGAAACCAGAACATAAATGGGACATCTTCCTTAACAGCACTGCTACTTCATCCTTTGTTTTTAACGAACAAATATTTAGCCAGAGTGTATTGCTTACACACTACAAAATACACTTTATGAAGGCATAAAGAGAGATGATTCTCCAAAGTGGTGGATCATTGTGCCTTTCATAAGACTGAATAACTGGATACAAGTAGTAATTTTTTTGTGTACTTTCTAATTTTATTTGCTTCCTTAGTAGTTAATTTTCTTCCCAAAGCAGCATTTCTGGAGAGAGAAACAAAATTCTCTTTTTTCAGTTAATATCAGCTTGGCTAAGCACAAATTTTAAAACATGAGGAGCACTTCTGGGCCTGAAAGTTATTTGGGCCTGTTCTCCAGATCCTTACTCACTCCTTACTTACATCTTTTTATATCATCTGATGTTACTTTCCTGTAACACCAGACTATTAGTGCGGCTACTACTACTTTTGTCATTCAATCAGCATATAGAAACTAATTTTTTACCTGTTAACACCATCTCTTACCTGGTACTACAGAGTTCTGGGTTGAACTGGATGAAGAAGGATCTCCACTGCTGCTGGGACCTGCATTCACTGAGGTCTGTGGTTCCTCCTGTTCCAGACTAAAAAAATAGCATTGCCTTCAAGACAGACTCACAACTGTCCTACACGTTTCCCACAAAGAATCTATAAAGCAGATTGCTATTGACATTAATGAAGTACCATTTTGCAGTGCTGTGATAAGCACACTCTGCACGTCACCATACGTTAAACTATGCAAATCAAACAAGGAAAATATTCAGCTTAAAAATCTCTCAAGAACATTACAGATATAGGCATCCTAAAAGCCTTAAATTACTTGCTAAAATATTAGAGGGGGCTGCTGACTCTGCAAGCATCTTTAACTCTTTTCAGCAAAAGATTAACTGGGCAATTTTACATTAAATGAATAGCCCACTCCTGAAAGCCTGCAAGTCTTCTTAGCATAAAGTGAGAGACAGCATGGGTAAAACACTGATGTCACATCAAAAATATTTTGCCATTCTCTTCATAATGAGAATTTCACTGATGAGGTTCAAAAACATTCGAAATAAACAAAAGTTTAATGAAAACTCCAAGAACAAAAAGCCTCTGCTTTTCTAATAAACATTTCAGAAGATGGGGTAACTGTAGATTTCCTCTTTTTGAAGTAACATAAACAAGCACATTCAGTACTGATGAGCAGAATTCCACTGGGATGTTTTCTGAATCACATGTACAATTCTCACTTTTCAAGACAGGTCTTATTACATGTCATCTTAAAAGCAGTAGGTGAAGGTGTTTTGCAAGAGTTTTAACTTATTGAAACCAAAACAATAAAGACATTCTAGTTTTAATACCATTTACTACTGCTGCTTGATTATAGAGCTTTGAAAACAGTTAAAGAATAGCACAGATATACAAGGGCAAAAACAACCTAGATCAAACCCAAGCACTTAACTTAAAAGCTCTTTAGAAAATCCTTTTAATTCTATACTCCCTGAACTAGGGCCCATTTGTGTTTCTCACCCTTCGTATACAAGTGAAACTAATGTGGCAACTCATGTAAGTATGTGTCTCTTTCTCAAAAATATGTATAGTAAATAAGCTTAGCGCATTAAAGCAAAGGTTTGGCCTCTTTAAGTCCTGCAAAATGCACTAATGAAAGAATATGAAAATGAAAAAGAACCATCAAAACAGCTCAAACACAGGCAAGTATAAGTTCTAAAGTATAAAATGCACTTTTCTTAAAGAATCAGTTTTCAAGGCTGGTGAAACTTTGTTTAATTTTCCTGATCTGGTAGATATGGTATTATTACCACATTACTTAACGCGCTTTCAAACATTCAGGAAGATCCTTTAATGACAGTTTTTACACCAGCAGACATTGAGGCACAAAATAAGCAGGCATGCTTATTTTGAAGAATGAAGCACTTACGTTTCTCTTCCCTGAACTATCTTTGCATATTGGTGAAGAGTATAGCGACGATCATGCACACCTGAAAGGACCAGCTCACGCGACCCCATCTCAGCTTAAAATCAATGTACAGTTGTGAATACATCGTAAACTTTTCAGTAATCAACGTAATTCCACTCCCACTAGGGATGGCAGATATACCTCTTAGGTATGCCCTCTCGGTCCTAGAAAGTCACCGTTCTGCCAATTTAACTAGGCGTGACCCCCGATGGCCGAACGCCCGCCGAGCGCACGGTGCGGGTACTCGCCTTGCGGCGCGGCTGCCGTGACCGGGTCTCCTGTGCCGGCGGGGGCCGTGCCTGGGGCGGCTCCATCCACGCTTCTCCTTGCCTCGCCGGTAATGCCTCCTCATCTCTGCTTATAAAGGAAACGTACACACGTGCTTCACCTCTGCTTGCCCAGAACGCTCCAACACACAAGGCGGATTTCCTCAGGAGACCTCTTTTCGACTACTTACGCCCTGTGACAACCAGGCCCGCCGGCCGCCCCCGCCACGGGCGCACCTCTGAGCCTGCCGACTTCCCCGCTGGTCTGGGACCAGCTCCGCGGCTCGCCCCGCGTCGCTGAGGCCAAACCCCCCCGAGGAAGAAGGGCAGTGACAGCAGCAGCGGCCACGCATCCCCACCGCGTCCCCAGAGCCGCCCGCCCGGCCCTCACCGCGCCGTGCCCGTGCCGCGCCCCGCCCGCTCTGCCGCCAACGCCCCGCCCCCACGGGCGCGCCTCACTGGCCCACGGCCGCGGCCGCCGATTGACGGACAGCTCCCTCGCCCAACCGCAGGAGGCCTGGCCCGCGCGTGCGCCATGCGGGGGGCGGAGTCTGGCCCGGGCGGTGCGAGGCACTGTGAGGCGCGCGTGGGCTTTCTGGAGTCCGGGGATGGAGTTTTTGGGCAAAAAAGGGTCGCTTAGCACGGTAGGGAAGCAGTGCAGGGCAGAGAAGAGGAAGCCTGGGGGTGGCTGGGAGTGGTGCGCTTTGAGTGGTGCGGGCACCGAAAGGGTACCGCTGCTTTCCTGTCGCTGTGTCGCTGGGTGCCTTCAAGCCTTCCTTTGGCTCTGGGCAGCTGTCAAGAATTTGTAAAAAGGGAGGTGCTCTCTCTAAAGTGACCTTCCTGGCTGAGGCCTCTTGATAATTATTTTTTTTTATTTTTTTAGCCTTCCGCTGCTGGGCAGCAAACAGCTGGATGGGTGGTGTTGAGGCGACAGTGCTGGGGCAGCCTCGGGGGTGTGCAGCGAATGGACAGGGTGGGAGGGAATAATCGGGGCTGCAGCAATCAGAAGCAACTCCCCAGTTGATCAGAGCAACAAAAGGGTGTAGTGGTAACCATCCTCTCTTTGAAGTCAGCGTAGTAAACTGCTTCTCTTCTTAATCAATGATTAAAGATGCCCTTAACCGGTTTTTGTACAGTGGCCTTCCTCCTTCCTGTTTATGCAGCATGTTGGCGGTGAAAAAAATTAAAAACAGTACTGTAAAAATATTTGCTCATTTAATGGATGATTGATTGAGGTTAAAACAAAACGGGAGGTATAGTTAACAAAAAATTGTGGAAAAACGGATTTAGCCTTTTTGCTTCCAAAAAGATAGGGGTTTTTTGTCACTTTAATAACTTAAATAAGAAAATGCCAGTACTGGAAAATAGGCAATGAATTTTTTTTTTTCCTTGAGATGTTCAGACTTTGCACTAGTTTGCTGTTGTCACTTGGCAACAGTAGTTTTTGGGAGATAGTATTTTCTGTCTCTCACTCTTATGGTCTATGTTTACAGTTCAAAATGTTTAGAGTTAAAATGGCCCAAGAAAGGAATAATTTAAAGATATAAACAGCTGGAAAAATCACCTGTGGCTTGCATAGATAGTTTGTGAACTCTATTTCTTTGTCTTTACAAGGCTGACCACCAGCATGGTCTAATTCTAAGGCATATTTTGGTGATAAGGTCTGTTTCTCACAGTGGGTTAGTGACACTGATCTTTAGCTTCCGCAAGATAATTTTGAATTTTACTATAGTAACAGGGGGAAGAATAAAAGTGCCTCTAGAAAGCTGCATCAGCAGATGCATCACAGTTTCTGTGATCTGTTAAATTGTTGATACTGTCACTGGTGAAGACTGGATTCAAAATGATGATTAATATAGTGTTGGTACTTGATGATTTGTATTTAAATTTACTACTGATACACCTATGGACAGGGTTCTAGGGAATGCTTTTGTCCTGGTGTTTGCTGGTTTGTGGGTAATAATCCAGAATATCTAATGCTAATAATGTTAGTAATGTTATTCTCTGCTTCGTTGGCTTTGTTTCATCTTTTTAATTTCTGGTGCCAGTGAGTAATGTTCCAGGTTCTGTGACCAATATGCTGCTTGTAAGCTGTATGATTCATGCCACTGAAATAGTTGTCATCAGGGAAGAAGTATATTAAATGATTTGTTTTCTCACTTGTATTGCAGATATTTACTATGAAAAATCATAAATAGACTGGAAGATATTTCAGAGATAACTAGTTTCCCATGTATGTGTTTAAATAAAATGTACAAATAAAATACACACATTTACCCCCTACATTGTTCTTTACCAATTGTTTGTCTAACCTCTTCTTAGAGCCTTTTTGTTTGGTTTATTCAGATTATTTTATCTCTCACTGAAAGGTTTCCTGATGTGTTACTTGAATACCTTATTGCTGCAATTTAAAACCATTACTGCTATTCCTTCTACCTTCTGTGGATGTAGAAAACAATTTGTTATCTTGCTCTCTGCAATTGTATTCCGTATTTGAAAATGTGAAAATGCTGTCCCCTTTTGAATTTTTTCCTCTAGATTAAAGAGTGGCTAAAGAATGCCAATTCACTAGGATATTATAGATGACAACTTTTAGCTTTGATTCTTCCTTCCTTTTTGGACCCTTTCCATGGAGAACACGTTTGTGTTCTCTTGAAATGTGTTCCCCAAAACTGGGTATACTGCTACTCACCTGAGGCCTTCCTAACGCTGAGTGTGTTTTGCAGGCTGTGCTCACGTTGGAGTGCAGGATGTCCTACAGCTGCACAGCGATGCTAACTTCCATGAAGCTTATGCCTAAAAGGGATGGGCGACTTTCTGTTTGAGAACTGCTATACAATCAGTTGTTTTCAGTCTGGGTTTGTGGAGTTGGCTATGCTTGGGCTGGTAGCAGTGGAATGCTGCTCATCTCAAGGTGATTTGTGAGCAGGTCCGGGCCACCTGCCCTGCAAAGTGCACTCTGCCATTATGTCCTCCGTTTACCTTAGCTGCTTTTCTGCTTCTGTGATTTGGGGGACTGGTTTTATACCTCTCTAGTCCATTAATTGCATACCTTCAGACTATATTTATTTAGGTGATTAGTTAAGTTTAAAATACAACTGTAAATTGCATTAAAAAGTTCTGTAAAGACCAAACTTTGTCAATAACATTAGACTTTGTGGTTTGAATGTAGGTTTAGGATTACTGCAGTTTAGTAAATTGCCTTTCAGCTAAACTGCGGTACCTGAGCCCGAGTTTTTTCTTTGCAGTTGCATCTCAAAATTAGAATTAGTTTTTCTTTACTCTTCTTTTGCCGAGACTTAAGCTGTGTACTTTGTCTCATGATTGCTGGGGATTAAACCTGCATTCTGCCAGTTAAAGCTCAGCTTACATAAGGCAACCCATTAAGCTTTGGTAAATGGGAAGTGTACCTAGGCCCATGAATTACCCTGGGCTTAGGCAGGGTAATCAAAAGCAGGATTTTGTCTAACAGCAAAATTTATCTTTGTTCTAATGCCACCAAAGTCAAAGCAATTTAAGAGCCTATGTAACTTTGTATGCTTACTCTGCATTACTCTGCAGTAATAGTATCAAAACTCCTTGGTGCTTATGAATGCCAAAGTTGCTGTTTGCCATTTTTATCTTAGTTCTCAGAATATTCTGCTGTCCCACAGGCTCTGCTATTGATGCTGAAAATCACTTTTGGCCTCTCCTGAATTAGGTCATAGAATCATTTAGGTTGGAAAAGACCTTTAAGATGATTGAGTCCAATCATTAACCAAACACTGCTAAGTCTAACAGTATCTCTAAGTGCCACATCTACAAGTCTTTTAAATACATTCAGAAATGGTGACTCCACTGCTTCCAAGCAGAACCAATGCTTGACAACTCTTTCAGTGGATATTGGGAAATTTTTTTTCAATCTAAATGAAGGAACAAACTGTTGTAGGATTTAAGGTGATGAATTATCACAGTTTGTATAACGATTGATGGCTTACTGTGTTTATTCTGTATCTCTGTGTATTTCACTTTTCTACTTTTTTTTTACTTTGTTTATTTGAAGTCTCTAGCCACCAAAGTAGTCCTGATGGTCTTGGAGATGCAGCTTCCTTCAGGGAAGGTGTAAGGACCCGAGTGGATCGGATTCGCCCCAGGAGAGGGCAGCAGTGCGCTTGCACAAAATCGCCGTGTCTTGCCTCTGTAGGGTCTTTCTTTTGTACCAAGTATCGAATTCCCATTAAATCAATTTAAAAAGCTGAAGTACACCAATGAATCCCTTTGCAATATTACTTAAAAGTGTATTTATTTTTATTTAAAACTCTAGGGTCCAGGGACACTGATGTTGCATATTTTAGCCAGGCTTCCCTCCAAGTAAGAAGGTGAAGCTTCTTTCTACTGGTATCAGCTTTCCTACCCTGCAGATCAGAGCTCATTAAAAAAACTCATGAAAACTTGGCAAATTAAACCAAACTTTCACAGTTTATATAATTGCATTAGCTAAGAGTTTGTTTTATTGTGGTGATTGATTGTAGGAGGGTTTTTTGTGTTTTGTTGACATTTTTTATGTCTGTTTTTTTTTTAATCCAGTACTTTTGACTATTAATATGTCAAGGAGTACTTGTATGCTAATAAGTGACTCCTAGAAATTTTGTGGTAGGTTCTCTATATATCAGCTCTTAGTATTTTATATATGTGTGCTCTTGACACTTTTCCAATCAGGTGTGAGACATACGTTGGTCAAACCTTGCCTTCTCAGAGTAGCAGCAACCTAGTGAGTGCAGAATGGCAGGTCTGGTGGCTGCTCTTGCCAGTTTGTAAGAGAAATGCAAGTGTTTATCACATATGAGTGTTGGACCTTCTCTGGGTATTAGAACCCAAGAATTCAGGCTAGATCATTACTAAGCTGCTAAACTTGTGTATAAAATCTGTTATTGCAGGATAGGTGTGGTCTTAGATATACAGAAAAGGCGTACCCATACGTGCTACTTACTCTGTTCTGTATAGTCAAAGCCAAATGACTGAAGTGATAGGTTTACTGAGTTACTTTCTAGAGTGAGAAAACAGCATAAGATTGGGAATTCAGAATATAAATCTCTCTACTGTGACAGTAACTCACTTCCATTATGCATATATGGATTTAATTTGAAATCCACATTTCAAATCAGGGGGCCCCTGAGCTGAGCTGGAGGACCATGGCTGTGAGAATAAACTCCCAGTCGACCTTGAACTTGTGTGGGATCTATTGCTCCCTGCAAGTCTATGGGGCCTGATGGGATTCATCCGAGAATATTCAAAAGAGCTGATTGATGGCATCATGAGGCATCTCTCAGTGATTTCTGAATAGTCTTGGGAATTTGGAGGGGTCCCACTTGACTGGAAGATGACTAACACTGTCCTGATTCTCAAAAAGGGCAAGAAGGATGACTCTGGAAACTACAGGCTTGTCTGTCTCACTTCAGTGACTGGTAAAATTATGGAGAAGATTATACTTGGAGGTATTGAAAAACACCTGAAGGACAACGCAGTCATCAGTCACAGCCAGCAGGGCTTCATGAGAGGAAAGTCCTGTTTGTCAAACTCAGTTTCCTTGTATGACAAGGTGGCCAACCTAGTCGATCAAGGAAAGTGAGTTGATGGTTGATGTAATCTTTTTGGATTTCAGTAAAGCTTTCAATGCTGTCTCTCACAGGATCCTTCTGGACAAAATGTCCAGCTCACAGCTGGATAAACACATCATGTGGTGGGTGAGCAATTGGCTCATGGGTCAGGCACAGAGGGTTACAGTGGATGAGGTTACATCAGGCTGGTGACCAGGCACTAGTGGGATTCCATAGGGCTCCATTTTAGGGCCAATTCTTGTCAACATCTTCATAAACCATTTGCATGCAGGACTTGAAGGCATACTGAGTAAGTTTGCTGATGTTACTAAACTGGGAGGAACTGTTGGCTTTCTCAAAGGCAGAGAGGCCCTGCAGAGAGCCCAGGACAAATTGGAGGGCTGGGCAAATCTTCAGCTGTGTGAAGTTTAACAAAGACAAGTGCTGGATTCTGCACCTGGGATGGGGCAACCCTGGATGTTCGTACAGACTGGGGAATGAGACACTGGAGAGCAGTGTCGTGGAAAGGGACCTTGGGATCCTGGTCGATGGCAAGTTGAACATGAGTCAGCAGTGCCCTGGCAGCCAGGAGGGCCAACTGTGTCCTGGGGGGCACCAGCCAGTCGAGGGAGGGGATTGTCCTGCTCTGCTCTGCACTAGGGTGGCTTTACCTTGAATATTGTGTGCGGTTTTGGGTGCCACAATATGGGAAAGTTCTTAGAGAGTGTCCAAAGGATGGCAATGAAGATGAAGGCCTTGAAGGGAAGCCATATGAGGAGTGGCTGAGGTCACTTGGCTTGTTCAGCCTGAAGGAGACTGAGTGGAGACCTCGTTGCAGTCTGCAACTCCTTGTGAAGGGAAGCGGAGGGGCAGGCACCAATCTCTTCTCTCTGGTGACCAGTGTCAGGACCCAAAGAAATGGCATGAAGCTGTGTCAGGGGAGGGTCAGGTTAGCTATTAGGAAAAGGTTCTACACCTAGAGGGTGGTTGGGCACTGGAACAGGCTCCCCAGTGAAGTGGTCATAGCACCAAGGCTGACAAAGTTCAAGAAGCATTTGGACAATGCTCTCAGGCACATGATGTGATTCTTGGGGTGGTCTTGTGCTGGGAGTTGATGATCCTTGTGGGTCCCTTCCAACTCAGGGTATTCTGTGATTATATGAAATCTTTCTCCCTAGAAAGATATGCTGAAATCCAGACTGGTGCTAGATTTTGTGCAAGTAACTGTGTATATCTTAAGTGAGCTCTTGTTGACCCTGATTCTGAAGGGATGTTAAAGATCCTTTAGTTTTTGTTGTAAAAGGCGTGGTTTACTTGGCCGTTTTGGTTCAGGCTTGTTGCTCCTGTGATGTAGCACAGGCTTCTGCACACCTGCTAGGTTTTGTAAGTCTCTGTTCCAGAAATGGCTGTGCTTTCATACTACATTTGTCTTTGAAAATAGCAAGCTGTCTTTTGAATGGCAAAGTTCTAGATATATGGGTAGTCCCTTGAACATTTTTGATGTTTTAGTTAAATATCTTAGATATGTTTTATGTGCAGCATGAACAGTTACTTAACACTCTGAAATGTCTTTTGTTGTTTTTTGACTTCTGTTACTATTACTTGTGGGCCCAATCTAAGAACTGTTAGAGCATATCTCAGTCTACAAAACCAGACCCTCATGACAATGTATTTCAGTGTATGGGTGGAGAGAATGCTGATTTAAAAGTGATACCAACAACAGAGATATTTATGCTCTGACTTATTTCCTGTGGTGCTGTAGGTCTGACATGTCAGTTCAAAACAAAAACTGGCCCTTCTGACAATTTTATTGCTTTCATGAATTTTTTTTTTTTTTTGGTAAAAGATCGTGTCAGATGGTAAAATGATCTGTCAAACTGATAGGGATGCTAAAGAGGTTTTACAGTGCAAGAACAGAACCTTATATTCTTTGCAGAACCATTGTAGAGTAGAATACCCTGATGAAGAAACCTTTGTTGAATAATGCTCTCCAGCCTCTTTCTGCGGGGAAAACTTCAGATCTGCATTGGAAGGTCAAGTTCCTGGTGTAAATAATGCTGTCTTTAGAGTAGTGGCAGCTGGTAGCTTTTTCATTTTTCCTCTGGACTCATTTGTGCAGCTTATGGGCCTCTAATACACAAAGTGCTTGCAGTTACAAGATTGATTTCTAGCCTTGTATTTAAAATTTGCCAGTGAAAAGAACTAGTCAGCATGTCCAAGGAAGTATTTTCTTCTGTGGTCAAAATTTTGTGTGTTGCTTCATACCCATCCTTGTCTGCTGTGGATATAAGGTTGTACTTTTATCCAGAGAACGGTGAACTGCTTTATTTTTACACATCAATAGCAGATGTCAGGGCTCTGACAGTTGATTTCCCGCTGGAAGAAAAATTTGTAACACAGACCCTTGGAATCATCTTTCTTTAGTAGACTTCTATATTAAATATATAAGGCTTTGAACAGATGTATAGACCGATGATGTTGCAGGGAAAAAAACCCTTCTCTGGGGTTGTCAATCTGCAAGTCAGTGTTTTGCTTTCAGAAAACAACACTTTATCTTTGAAATTTGTAGCAACTAAACAGTGTTACAGAGCTACTAACACATAATTTCTCAAAGTCTATATCCTGTTCATATCCAAAGGAAAGTAATTGGTGAGACTTGTGTGCAAGGAGGCGTTACAATTATGTGAGTGTGGTTCTCAGAAATGGACAGTAAATTAACACAATGTTGTTTTGGAGCATGAGCTTCCTCAACTGTCTTGTATGCATTGTGTGCTGTAGTGTTCCCTTTGTAAGAGTACTGTTTGAATGATGCAGGAGTGACTTGCTTGTCTCCCCCCCCACCTCGTAGTCTTTGAAGATGTATGGTGGAATATCTTGTTTCAAGTGTTCTTTTTAAAAAAAAAAAAAAAGGAAAAAAGAAAAGGGAATGAAAATTTTATGAGGTAAGAACTCTTCTCTCATTCTCTTCTGAATCCCCTCTCAGGGAGAACACAGCAGGAAGAGGAGGAGGAAACTCAGCTCAGTGTATGCAAACGAATGTGGGAGCCTTCCTGCTACTGATGTGCAAAATGAGAAGAGCAAATTTCTTACAAGAACTTTCAGGACTACATCCTGAAGGAAGAAGAGTGGGAGGAGGGAAGGTTACCATGGGAAAGCAGTCTCCATATACCAGTGTGTTTGGTAGAGGGTATATGTGGGTTCTTTGATTTGTTTGGTGACGGGAAGGGTTCGAAGGGAAGTTAAGGATACCAATCTGCAGATACCTAGTCTCATAATGATATTGTATATTGTCTACTCATGTCTTGGCTTATTTATATGCCATCACTAAATTCAAACAACACGGCAGGGGTAGGGTAGTCTTAGCAGTATTTTGTAAGATCTTCAAAAGTCTCAAGACAACTGAAAGTGCTTATGTGCTTTTTAGAACTGAATCAGTAATTGTTTCACCTACAAGATGTAATACATGTTTGCAGTTCCAAAGCAAACAAACAAACCCAAACAAACCCAAGCCCAACCAGCAAAACTTTAGCTCTCAGCTTAATTGGATGGAAATCAAAAGAGGAGGTAGAACATAGAAGATGGCTTATGGGCTTGGTTGAACTATTATTTCCCTGAGCAAAGCACTTTCTAATTGGGAGTTGGAAAGCTCTGCAGGTCCCAAGGAAAGA